CTCATTACTAGTTACTCATTTCAAAAGTAATATTGTTACTTTACTTATTACTTTCTGGCAACAGTAATTAGTTACACTACTAGTTACATTACTTTTTCTTCACGCCCCACAGAAGTTGTAACTGTGTATCTTCCACATAAAATTATAGTGATTGATAGTGACGTTCAAGTAGATGTTTTGTATTAATCTCATTAATTGTCATGCGTAGAAGTGAATTGAGAAGTTATTTCTGAACGGTTCAAATGAATCAAAATAAAGAACCGATTCAAAAGAACGAGTCGTTCGCGAATCGAACATCACTAGTATCTGTCGCGCCGCCAACTGGAAGGAACCGAGCTCAAACAGTTCGCACAAATCGTTGATAGAGACGTGCGCTGCGTTCAAAACGCTAGTCATTCTTCGCGTCTGTATGAGCTAGATTCTGTGGGGTTTTCTTTCACTATGAAGCTGCTCATTTGTCTATGGAATACTGTAAATAATCTCTGGTCGATAGATTGAAAGTAACGCGTCGGATATTTGTATATTAATCGCGTGTTTGGCAGAGAAACGATGCATTATGATTCATGGTCATCTAATAACTGGAACAGGTAGGTGTTTTACTGACCCTCTCTGTCATACTATTGTTAGATATTGTTTCCATGTCAGAAATAAAGGAAACATACAGGGAAGTGAAAATGATGGTTTGATGAGCGGAGGATATTCAGATCGAGATGATGGTTTTATGATAGTTTACCACCCACAGTAACAAACACTGCTAGCAAACACTCCTTGTTATTAAATATCCTGCATGTATTCAAAAGGCAGATTTTCAGCTCATGTTAAATCGGGACTAGCTCTACTGATTTAGAAATGTCTCTCAAATACAGATCGCGCCATAGAAACACATGGTGTGCAGAGAACTGGACTCGAAATGAAAAATGGTAGGCATGCCAGATGACAAGCTTCTAAGACACTGAGGCGTTCTAAGCAGATCAAATAATAATTCTGCTTAATTATCTCAATAATATTGCCTGAATATCCGACTATTGCGTATGTTTACTAACCTAAGTTTTGTTTTCTATCCTGCTGTTTTACTACGCTCTATAGTTTGCCATTCTCTACTGTACATTTTCATACTTTGTTGTAAAATTCTACTCTATAGTTGACCTTATTCTATACTATATTTATCTTTGTTTCACCTATTAGTAAACACGGGAAAAGCTTTGAAGACTGTGTTTGCTAAGGGAATAAAAGTAAACACATTCATACTCTGTTCTATCGTGCTCTACTCTAAATTCATTGTTATGCCATTTTGCAAACTTATTCTGAATAATAATAATAATAATAAAAAAGTGTTGAACTTTATCCTACAGCTCCATACTCTACTAATGTAGGGTGACCATACGTGCCATTTTCCCTGGCCAGGATTTCTATATTGCCTAAAATATCTAGGTTTTGGCTTTGTTTGCGTCGGTGTATGACATCAAAATACCTCGAGAGCATTTTGAAAGCATAAGGAACTGTCTGTATGGTATTTTGATGTCATACACCGATCGGTCTGCACACGCAAACAAAGCCAAAACCTAGATATTTTAGGCAATATAGAAATCCTGGCCAGGACGCGTCCTGGGAAAATGGCACGTATGGTCACCCTAACTAATGGGCATTTTGGGACGCCTGTTGGTAACTATTGACTGGGGTAGATCTCCTGTCTTAACAGGGGACAGTGTCACTTATCTTTATTTCTGTCTTACATTGTGTCCTCTTCAGTAACCTTTCTTTGGTCGCAGGATCTTACAGTGGACGGGCATGAAGAGATCGGATGGTGTGGATTAGATTATTGGGAATATATCGCTTTGATTTCTCTCATCTCAATGTTGGGCTCCAGAGGACCTCTGCCTTTGTGCTCTGAAATGAAATAATGGCAACGCATTGGGCTGCATCAAAGCACCAAGATGAGAAGAAAAATCCAACCGGGTCGTCAGTTTTTGAGGTAAATCATTTCGATGCTTTAAGAGAAATGTAGAAGCGCAATTAAAAAGACATTAAGGCCTGCACCATCTACAGCTCATGACAGGACACGTGCTTCAGTCGGAC